ACGGGAGCTTCGTGCCCTGGATGTGCATCCCACAAATCTCCATCAACTGCAAGATGCTATCCTATCAATATGGGCCAACATTTCTAAAGAATGCTTTCAGCACCTTGTTGAATCAATGCCACGTAGAGTTAAGGCGGTTCTGAAGGCGAAAGGGGGTCAAACACCGTATTAGTATGGTGTTCCTAATAATCCTTTAGGTGAGTGTATATTGAAAAAAGAACCTGCCAGAATAGGAATGAAACCAAGGACTTACGTTATTATCCAAAAATTACATTTACCTTTGTTTTACTATGGTATTATTGGGAACTCGTTGTCACTGTTATTGGCGTTTATGTATTTCAGATATTTTTAATTTGTAATTAGTATTGATTTCTATGAGTTTCAGATTTGGGGCCTGTATCAGGAGGCAGGATTTCTTACTGAGTTGGATAACTTGTCGCATTTAAGGTTCTACAGTTTAAATTGACTTTCTTTGTTGACTTACATTTAGCCCATGCTACCTTAAATGAGGCAAGTAATCTAGTTAACGAACAAATCTAACGAACTATGCGATACAGGCCCTTGGTCAGTGAACTGTCAGCTGGCTAGTGCTTAGTATGCTAACACTGAAGGATGAAATACTGTTGGTCCTGAAGACTGCAAACGCTCCACTTAAACTGCAGCGATTCTGACATTTCCTGGATTGGGCCCAGCCCCTCCAATTTGCTCCTCCCACCTGCAGGAGGCCCAGGACCACCAACTGCCATGAGGAGAGCACTTTGGACTTCAGTGATGCCTCCTCTCATGAGAACTTGCCACCAGACCTCTTGGTCCCCTGGTGTCTCCCCCTGGAGGGTGATCACTGTAACTGCGACGGGCTTCCGGCCACACTCCTCTAGCGCCAAGGTGCGCTCGTACATCCATTACCTGAAGCGGAAGATCAAGCCGGCACCCACCCCACCCTACAGCCACGTGTGCCAGGTGGGGGACCCGGTGCTGAGGGGGCGGGCTGCGGCAGTGGAGCCTGGGGCGGTGCTCGGAGCCGAAGTTCAGGAGGTGATCAGGAAGTTGGTGACAGTGATGCGACGCCTGGAGAGTGTGGGTCTGAGCGCGCCACAGATCGGCGTGCCACTGCGCATCCTGGCGCTGGAGTTCCCGGAGAGAATGCTGCAGGACGTGTCACCCGCGGGGCAGCATGCGCGGGCTCTGGCGCCGGTGCCGCTGCGCATCTTCGTCAACCCGCAGCTGCGCGTCCTGGATGCCAGGACGGCCGCGTTCATGGAGGCGTGTGAGAGCATCGCCGGATTCTCTGCCTGCGTGCCACGCTACCTCTCCGTGGAGGTGTCAGGTGATCACATGATGCGCAAACCTTGTGGGCTGACTTGCCATCTTTTGTGTGGCTTAAGTAGACTCCTGTGCAGGCCTGAAATTAAAGCCCATTAAAGCACTGAATAAAATATATAATATATAATCTGCTAAATAATGTCATGTACTTGGTACACATTTCCTGGAAGTAAAACACAACCAACTTTCAACTGCATTTGCTGTTTACGTCCCACAGGGGACACGGAACATTGCGAAATACAACATAGTTTATCGAAATATTTAGGTTTGTGTAATGAACACATGTGGAGATTAATAAGTCATTGTACTCTCTCATAGTCCTTCAGGGAGTTTAGCAAAGCTGTTGCATACATGAAAATTAAATTTGATTTAGCTAAGAAAATAAAAGCAGTAATATAATTAGGTATGTTCTTTTCATTTATATTTGCTGGTCTGCTGCAGTACAACATCCATCTTTATAAAGGGCTAAAAGTTTGAAAATCTCTTTGGATGATATATGGTAAAAAATGTTCATTCTGTGCACCATAAGAGCATCGGCCCGGTTGTAATGCTGCTGTCCGTGTTTCCCTCAGGGCTGAATGAGAAGGCGGAGCCTGTCACATGGCAGGTGAGCGGCTGGCCCGCTCGGATATTGCAGCACGAGCTGGATCACCTGGACGGCGTCCTGTACATCGACCGCATGGACAGCCGAACATTCACCAACGTACACTGGGCGGAGCACAATGACTGACGGGCGTGTGCTGGGGAAGAAGTGACGGCTGGCAGCCAATCAGTGACCAGCACAGAGCACAGCAGGATGGGCTCACATGGAATCTATTCTCTCTGATGTAAGCAGGAAGTAACGTACTCCAGTTACTGCTACTGGGGGAAAAAAAGTCTGGCGGACTTAACACTGTATGTGGTATTAAATAGCTGGAACACAGTTGATGGTATCAGTGATCTTTCTTTTGATAAACCACAACCAGTGGTACATTTGGTGGCTGTCATACACGGTGTGAATAGGCCGCAGCTCACTAAACACGTTCTTATTCTAGGCATGAAAACATTTTCACACTGTCAGAACTAAAATGCATTGGCAATTTACAAATGTCTCGTAGGCAAACAATTAGCATATTTTTTCTATTTGACAAAACAAAAAAACAAAAGAGTCTAGAAGGACGTGTGGACATTTGGTGCTACAGTTTCCGGGAGACAAAACCAGACGAAGATCAAACTTTTCTGTTGAGACCAAGGCTCTTTCATGTAAATTCCACTGAGAAGTCAAGATCTGCATTAGAAAGTAGATGACTGAAATTGTAACAGATTTGTAAATGATTCCATATCATTCTCATATCCTGTGACCGGGGGACAGTGACTTTGTTATTTTCAAGGTGAAAGAATGCGGAAGCTTGCAAGGCATCGTCACACTTTCCAGGGACTATTACTTTGGGAGATATTAGTTTCCCCAGACAAGGCCGAGCTTTTAACCAGCATGAAGGAGGGCAGGTTTTGTCCCTCTGGGAAATTGGTATCCCCAGAAGGAATGGCTGCGGGACACAGTACCTGTTTTCTCGTTGTCACCTTAACGAGAAGACAGTTCGGGGCCGTACCTCAGATAACGCTCCCATTCTTCTAACCCAAAGGGAGGTGGGGTTCAGAAGGTAAAACGATTGAACGGCAGTTTAGGAAGGAGCATAGTCTCTCGAGGGCCTTGTCCTTGACTTTGAGTTATTTCTAGTAAATAGAAAATGGTAAATAGCACAGAATCTCAGGCCATATTCATCAATAATACAGTAAATTTCTGGCCTTGAGGTTCATTTTAGAAATGGTTCCTTTTACAGGTTCTGGGATAAGATTCTTCATGTTGAGCTCCCGCGGCCAAACAGGGCCCTCGATCTTTCCCCAATTGAACACGTGTGAGGATACAAAGGCTCCCTTCTGCACATATTGCCGCATGTATCTAGGCCTGGGGGGGGGCATGCCGCAGTGTGCCCATACTGCCAACTCTGTTGTACGTTTGATCTGATATTATAATCATTGCGATACAGTCACATGACCTTTCACTATGTGCAGATTCATTTTATTTCCACCACTTTTTTTTCATATACACTATATGTAAACGGTAGCTGTACTAACTTCCAGGTTTAATGTCTGTTTTAGTAGAGGCTAGAAGCATTTACATGTTCAGGTTGTTTTAGCGGAATATCAGCGACAGTGGATTACCCGGTAATAAAAATAAGCCAAACTGTATTCATGAAAAATGGTGAGAAGAGTGATGAATGTTTGAAAGTCACTGGAATACAGGGATTCTTCTGATCTCATATTTGGAATCTTAATATTTGGATCTTTGCTCCACGGTGCCCCCCTGTGGACGCCAGCTAATTTAATGTTCAGGTTTCACAGCTTTGCAAACTTGTTGTTAGAACTATCAATACACTTACTCACTGGTTGGTCCAAACATTCATAATGCCCCCACAAAGACCACAACATCGTAAAAACTTTCTCTCTCCAAACACCTGGTGTAGACAGGTCAGAAGCAGCGTAAACATCTAACACTATGTCCCTAAGTGAGAAACACAATCATAGGTCAAGCTGCTGGAAATGTGTTGCTCTCCCTGGATGATGTAACATGTGGTGCCCGCCCAAATCTGTAAGTGTGATGTGTGGCTATGTAGGCCACTGTGTTGTTGTAAATCTAATCTCATAAGACCTTGAGCCAGCCTAATGGAACCCTGGAGTATAGCTAGTAGCTGATTAGTGTGTGAAGATGAAGGTGATTTTCCACAGAATCTCAGCAAGATAACGGGCGTATTATGCATGAGTTTATTACAACATTTTACACATGGTGCAAAATATGGTTACGATGGACGAATCCTGAGGGAAATCAGCAGTTTCATTCTGTAAATAACATTATTATTCTGTGTTAGCAAGGGAGAAAAAAATCTTCTTTAAGAAGAAAAGGGCACTAAAATCTGTTTGGTCTGGTCTAGATGTTCTCTAGGATAGGTAGCAGAATAATCCCAGTAAGTAGTTAAAATGGAATTTTCTGACACATGGTAATAGAACAGTAATCAGTACTAGAGGGTTACATTTGCAAAAATGTTTTGCATGTCTGCTACGAAACTATGGGCATATTTTGGAGACTGACTTTAGTGGCTGTGATTCATATTGTATATGGAAAAGTGCATTTTGAAAATGGATTACAGAACCTGACCTGTTGCGCTTACGGACACCACACTCCCGGACATGCTGAGCAGCTTCTACGCCCAGTTAGAGCTGCGAGGCTCAGACACGGGGGGGCGTGACAGCGTCTCCAGCCCACAGAGCAGCTATACTGGCGTCGGAGGCCACCTTGAAACGGGTTACATCTTGCAGGGCCGCCAGCCCTGATGTCATGCTCTCGAGTGTCATGAAGGCATGCACCATGCCGCTATCACAGGTGTATGCCGACACCTCTTACCAGTCCCCCTGCGCACGTGCCGACAAGAAGACCACAACTGAGCCTGTTACAAAAAAAAAAAATAAAAACTAGTTTCATGCCTAAATGGCTACCATCCTATTGATTTGCCTTCAGTAGTGATGGAGTACCTGGAAAAACTGGTCATGACGCACATTAACCGCAATATCCCTGTAACCCTGGACCCATTCCAGTTCGCATTCCGGCGAAACAGATCCATGGATGATGCCATCTCCCTCGCCCTGTACACTGCTCTAGGACATTTAGAAAAGAAGAACACTTGCATCAGGATGTTGTTTATTCGCTACAGCTCGACTTTTAACAAAACTGTTCCATCCAACCTGGCATCGAAGCTAAGAAACCTTGGTATGAGTAGCCCCACTTCTGACCGGATGTTTGACTTTCTAACAAAACGGCCAGAGACGATGATAACCGGCGACAAGAGATCATCCACATTAATCCTGTACTAGTGCTCACCCACAACTGTATGACAAAGCATGACACAGCAACATCATCAAGTCTGCGGTGCCATGAAAACAGCCTCTCCTTGAATGCTGACTAGAGAGACAATATTACTGTAGACTTTATGAAAACCAGAGACCTTCACTCCCTACTACGCATTGATGGAACTCCTGTTAGGATAGTCAGTGGCAGTTCAGGTCCCTGGGCATCCAGATCACAGAATCCCTTTCACGGTCTCTAAACACCAGCTGCATCTTCAAGAAGGCTCAACAAAGGTTGTTCATCCAGAGCAGACTCAAGAGCTTTGTGGTAGAAACCAAAACCTTGGTTCTACTGCTGCACAACTGAGAGCATACTGACTGCATACATCAAGGTGTGGTTGGGTAATGTAACTGCTCAGGAGCTCAACGTAGTGAAAATGATTGTCCAGACAGCTTTGAAGATCATTGACACAGATCTTCCACAGCCTAAGTCAATTTACTATCTCTGCTGCCAGAAAAGGGCTGAGTCAATCATCATGGATGCCAGCTACCTAGCTCACGCCCTGTTCACACTGCTGTCTTCTGGCAAACGTTACTGGTGCATCACCACCTGCTTCAGAGACAGTTACATTCCTCAAGCCATCAGTTTGCTAAACAACCGATGACCTGTATCTATCCACCCACTGCATACCCATTATATTGCATACCACTACATTGTTGATTTATTACTGCATATTGCATTACTTATAAATACGCCTATTTACTATTATTCCATCTACCCAACCTGTAGCACTGTCCTGTCCTTTCACTGTGTTCCCCGAATACATATAACAATAATTTACTATATATTATTTGAATATTACATATATACAGTGCATCTCCAACAGCTGAAGTCTGTACAACTCATTCCTGTCTTTTCAATGCTACTACAATGGAATATAGCCACATAGTTTAATAGTAGAACTATCATTTGCAACATACTTAAAAGGAAATATGTCCTCCACAATACAACAGTAATTTCCAACAAATGTACTGTATGTACTGTGGTGGAAATTTTCCACAGATAAACAATATTTTGATTGTAGTCAATGGAGAGAGAAAGAAAAGGAAGAGAATAATATTTTCTTTTATGGAAATAATTGTCTACAGTCATTCATGTACTAGTACTTTGGCTCAACAAGTAGTAATAGAAAATAATACAAAAGACTGTGAAAATCCCAGAAAATGTACATGAATTGTTAGCTTTTCCTCTACTATATGTCACTTTGGGTAAAAGCGTCAGATAAATGGGAAAATGTCACATAAATGTACAATATTTTCCCCATCTCTACAAATCCACAACTAGATCTGAATTTTACAGTTATATAACATCCAGTTCACTTTTGGATATTTGTAGCCATTAAACCATTGCTTGCTTTCTGTGTAGATGTATTTTATTTCAGATCTGCTGGGAATTCAGAAACAGGTGCTTATTGCTCATTTTGTGAAACTTGGTCAACAGCCATTAATGTATTCACCAATTCATTAGATGTTTCCTGATACAGCAGATGCCCAAGGCATTTTGGCTGTTGTTTGTTTGTTCTTGTCATCCATTGATCTTGTCTCTTAGCTGAGGTCACGTTCTTCTTCACAGCTGTTTCTGATTCCATATGCCTCAAGACCAACATTTTCCTACTTCATCAGGAGCCTTTTAAACATCTCAGCATGTCAATCAACTGTCTGAGTAGCAAACAATTAGATGGTATTTATACAAAATTGTTTTTTCAGCTAGCTATAAAAAATATCATGTTATTTTGTTTTGAAAGCCAAGCCTGCTCATCCCTTATATTTCAGCAACAGTCCAGCTTAGAACGTGTTTCAAAAGGAGCTCATTGACACTTACAGGACTTTGTGTCCAGGTTTTCTGGTCATCTACCATTTCTGCTGTGGCCATTGTTAATCTTTCCTAGCCCTTTCGGACATTACATCCTGACATTCGTAGTCATCGTCTAATGGTATGATCACCTCACTAATACTCCTCGCTGGTCTCTTACAGTCTTTTTTTTATCATTGCTCATAATTTTCTCAATTTTTGGGGATATTGTTCCAAAGGCTGATTATGTTGGGCTGCATTTTGTAAATTATGAGTGACATAATTAACATTGATCTTTCTACATCATGTAGTTGAGGCGTGAGTTTTAAAAAGATGGCTGCCGCTTTGGTTTCGTTGCTGCCCATCTACCCGCTGGGGGTCTGTCTCTCCGCTCTTCTGCATTGCCACTGCTCTTTTGTCTTGAGCAATTTTTTCCACTAGCGTGCCAAGCTACAACTAGGTCATCCTTTCATTTGGAAAAAAAGTTCCTGTTGTTTTCGTGACTATCACTTTATGTATACAGAGTCAGAGCAAACTGGGACCTTTTTTGGCCCAGCTCAATACCTGGTACGATTTCAGTAAAAACCAGCTTCAGCAGGCTGTTGTTACCATAGTTTCTATAAATGACTAATGCAGTGTCATTTCTTAGGCATGGATGAATGTTTGGTCTGTTTTTGCTGAACATTAGACAACAGCAAGACAATAACACATACTCAGTTTGGACAAACAATACAACCTTATGGGATCTAGAGTTTTTTCTGCAAGTCCAGAAAACTCTCAAGGCCAAGGGAAGGGAAAAAGAAGAGAAAGAAATAACTAAAGCAGCCCAGACCGTTGTATCATTGGGTGTAGCTAATTTTCGGTTTAAAATAGAATAATATAGATTTGCCATAAGTCTGAAAGCGTGTGAGAGTTGAAGGCCCACCATTGGGCAGCATGTGGCTCAGCGGGCTAAGCCTGTGTGCTTGTAATCAGAAGGTTGCTGGTTCAAACCCAACCTCAGCATGTCTGTGGGTCCTTGAGCAAGACCCTTAACCCCCAGCTCCCTGGGCACTACTATGGGTGGCTGCCCTTTGCAGACAACCTACTCTACAAAGAGCAAGTTGAGGGAGCTGTGAAGACAATTTCCCCATGGGGATCAATAAGGTATCTATTATTAATTATTGAAAACATTACAAGGGAAAGCGTTTAAGTTTGTGATTATCTTACAGTCAGTGAAGCGTTAACACAGTCACTGACTTTGGGGAAAAACCTCAGTTGATCTCCTGTAATATGTATGTAGTAGTAATGGAATGTATCTAGAAGTAATGTAATCGGGTAATCATTTGCTGAATCTTACTGGCCATTTGGCATATTTCCCCGTGGGACAATGGGTACCTAGCCCGTCAAAATTCATCAAAATTTTGGCCAGCAAAATTTACAGTGGGGGCCCCGAAATCCAGGGCCGACTTTTAATCCCATTCTAGCTCTGCTGGCCAGACAACATATTCATACTAAACAGCCACTATATAAGGTACGTCATGAGGGGCCCATGTGGAGCACCATGTTCTTCCCTATCTCCTATCATGCCATATACACCAGAAGCTGTTAACCATCCAGAGTTTCATAAACTTTAGAATGGTTTCCCACCTAGCTAAACTTGTTACTGCAGCTGACAGGGCATTCAAAAGGTTTCAGATGTGAGTAATAAGCATTATTTCCTACCATAGCTGGTTTAAATGTTTGCTAACTGTGATTATCAGAATTAAACTGTGCAGTTATTCTCATTAACATCTATCCATTTTCTGTACCTGCTTGTCCTATTCAGGGTAATGGATCCTATCCCAGAAACGACGGGTGCAAGGTAGGGAATAACCCAGGATGGGGCGCCAACCCATCACAGGGCACACATACCCGTCACTCACACATGCACACCTACTGGAAATTTGGTAACTTCAATGAACCTCGACATGTTTTTGGACTGCGAAATCTAGTCCCAGAGGTGTTGAGCGCCTGCCCTAACACTGCACTGCCACACCATGCCTCAGATTAACAAGTAAAATGAAATCTGGGGAAAATGTATATTTTATGCTTTGTTAATATACTGTTGGGCTCTGCTGAAGTACTTCCAGTGTATGTAGATCGAACAAAACATTAAAAATATGAAACTGGGATGAAATGCAAGTTGATAACAAATTCGACCAGTATAAGGATCCGGTTTGTTTACAACCAGTCACAAATAAACTTGGACTTGAACTCACTACGAGAGGTGTGTAATTGTGAAGTCACAGCTTTCAGAATATCGTTTTTGTATCACTGAATTCACCACAGACATTAATTATAATGTTTTGAAAGTTCGGGCGGTGCTTAGATAACAGTAGTAGAGGGTGTGGCCATACTTTGTGCGTTTCATTTAAAAACCACAGAAAGACATGTCCCGCACTCACTCGGAGCACCTGTTTGCGCGCCGCACAGCTCGCCGAGAATTCTACATCTTACCGAGATGTCAAACGCGGACAGAGTCGTGTTAGCTCTCGGTGGAGCGGGCGTAGTGGGATCCGGCGTCGTGAAGGCGCTTCTTGATAAAGGTAAGGAACAAGGGTAAAGACAGGGACTGTCAAAGCCGCACAGGAGTGTGTGTGTGTGTGTGTGTGTGTGTATATCATATATGATATATATATATATAAATATATATATATATATATATATATATATATATA